CTAGGTCGTGCTCGAAGAACCACTCGGCGGTTCGCCAAAGTCCCCCTTGATCGCGTTTAATTTCATGTTTTGGTTGAGTTTGAGTCAGTAACTTTCGGCGGGAAGCCTAAGGTTGCCGAGTGCACTCGGCAACTCGTCGAAAGTATCCTTTTATCCCCCTTTCTGCGCCCCTAACCCCTACAACACACTGTATTTTTCAATGGGCTAGTCTGAGCTCGCCGAATGATGTCAGGGACTAACCAAATGGCCCTACCTATCGCCAACTTGTTATTTTTCTAGGAATTTTTCAAGCCATTCTTTTCGGCGAGCCCGATCTGGCTCGCCGAAGTGACTCGGCGACTCACCAATCGGTTCGGCGAGTCTTTCTACAACTTGTATTTTTCACTTTTCCTGAATTGTTTCTAACTCATTTTGGTGTGCTTTGCAGATATGGCTAGGACCAACCTGGACGATAGTGGTATGCCACCCCACAAAAGAGTACGAAGTGTTGTTATTAATGAGGGGGAAGTTCCTCCCTCTAAAAAGGGAAAACGCAAGGGCAAGGGCAAAGCGCCCACATCTGAGATACCGGAGCACAACTCCGGCAGCGACGGGGAGTCCTTTGATTCCCAGGCTATATTCTATGAGCCTGAGGATGACCAACCTCTTTAATCCCGTGGAGCTGAGATTCGTTCTAGAGTTTTTCAAGGTTCGTCTAGGACCCCGAAGGCTACCCCCTCTGCTGCTAATACAGTGCCAGCTCTGGCACATACGGTGGTTCCAGCGCCACCAGTTCAGGGTCCTCCTCCACGGCTACTCAACAAGATAAAGGCCGAGGAATTGAGGACGATTCTTGAGGAGAAGCGGTTGTCTATAGATGGTGTAGTGGAAAGGTACCCCACTGTGTAGGACACTCTTCGGTTCCACAAGTTTGAGCAGTTCAGCAGGCCCCGTGGCCCTTACATTCCTATATGGGTCCGAGAGTTCTACACGACATACGATGACCTGGTACCTAAAGGCAAGAATAAGGCCAGTGCCTTCAGACCGGTAGAGTCCATCATGGTCCAGGGGACAGTAGTGAGATGTAGCGGTGATTATATCAACGGTGTATTTGATATAGGGCCAGGTTTTTACTACCCGAATATGGCTACCACTACGACACATTTGGATGATCTAAAGGGTTGGCTTGCTCCCCTCATTTCTGACACCACCCCAAGGTGGATTGAGGTAGGAGCTCCGATTGAGAAAAAGTATTTGAATGTAGTTGCACGGTACTGGTTTAGATTTATTAGCAGCTCTATCATTCTTTCACAGAATGAGTCCATCCCCCACAATCCAAAGGTGACCTGCCTTGGATCAATCATTGTCCGAAGGAGCATTGACTTGGGACTCAATATTGAGCAGGATATGGTCATAAGAGCCAAACAGTGATAGACGTCCCTTCCCTTCCCGGTCTTGATTACAGAGCTATGTCGGAGTGCTAGAGTTCCTCGTGACGAGAAGAGGGACATAGAGGTCACCCCTAGATCTTCCACAGATATCCAGCGCATAGAGGCTGAGTACACTCGGGATAAGGCTGATAGGAGGAGAGCAGCTTCGGTGGATGCATCCTCGGAAGTTGATGTTGATTCTATTCCTACAGAGGCATCTTTGCCTACTCCGGCCTCCGGACCTTTAGGTACATGATGTACCGTGATTTTACAATATTTTTGATACATTTCACTTGAGATTTGTGTGTATCTAGGGGTATTTTGTATTAGTTTATATGTGTTTTTCTCATGTTTGCAATGACTAGGTTCAGGAGTGGAAACTTGAAGACACAACTGAAAGAAGTGCAGAAAAGGGCATCTACGGAGGCAACTTACGGACCGTAGGTCCAGTTACGCCCCGTAGATGATAGTCGTAGAAGGGCAGGAAAGGCATTGGTAAAGATCAGGGAATTCTTGACCAAGTGTGGAACCACGGTTGTGACTTATGGACTGTAAATTGATCTACGGACCGTACTGTTGCTCTGTCAAATCATTCAGAAATTGGTTCTATACCTGATGCTGAAAAAGTCTAAGTGTGGCGTTACAGAGAAGAGTTACGGACCATAGATAGACTTACGGTCCGTACTGTTGAATCGTTGATTGCGACAGGGATTTTGCAGATTTTGAAGAAAGAAAAATTGCCTAAATCCTGAGCCACGGAAGGAACCTACAGACCGTAGATCGACTTACGGACCGTAGGTCTGTCTCGTAGAATGAAGACGCATCCTGCAGCTTTATTTCCTTATTTCATTTCCTTTTTAGTTAGGATTTATTTTTCTATATATAGGGTATGTAAACCCAATTTTTGGGGGTTCGAGACTATTATTTTTGTTCTAGTTTTTGGCTTGGAGATTAACTTGCAACTTTAGCAATTCTTAATTTTCTAAGCACGTTTTGGCGATTTTTACTTTGCAAAAAATTCAAGTTGAAAATTCTAGGATTATTCTACTCTACTACGTAAGTTCATGATTTATTCTTCAAACATTATGAATTGTTTTCTTGCTAATATGGTTAACTAAATCCACAACTAGGGTTGTGGGAACCATGAGCGATTAACGAAGTATGAATAGTAACTAAGTAATTCCCAAATAGTGTTTTGCATGCATTGATAATTTTTTCGTCTAGAAGTCTTTTTAACGGTGCGCAACGTTAGAACTGACCTTGTTGCTACTTGCCGGACCAAGGAGGTAATTAATAAGAAAAGAATTATCAACATAGATTTAGTGTGATACTATCTAATAAAATTAATGTCTATTGGTGCAAGGGTGAAAACTAAGCCATACATCGATCTGACGTCTAATATGAGGTAATGGTAAGGGTTAGTAAATAATACACACGTAGCCGGACCAAGGTGCGGGGTGAAATTCTCTAGATGCCGGACCAAGGATTTAGAGATACATAACTTATCGCTTTGCATGTAATACACTAGGAAGGGATTGCTATTACTAGGATTACAGAGTTATGAGCTTATGGGGAACACGTAAGCCCTAGTTTCCTTCTCAATTTGATAACAACAAAAGTTTGAATCTTGGTTACTAATCACTTTCATAATTTCCAAAATTTGTTACACAAATCCCCTCCCCCCTTTTTTACTTATTTGTCTCAGAAATACATTGGCTAAACGAATATAATCTTTATTGAACTTAAGCCTAAACCATATTCTTGGTAGGATCGACCCCAACCTACAAGTTAGGTTATTTATGTGATAACAATCGCTTAAGCTTCTGAAAATAGGTGTAATTTGAGGGTATCAAATTTTTGTGCCGCTGCCGGGGAATAAGGCTTTTAGATTAAGTTTAATTGCATTATTGAATTTTAGTCAAATATTTCCTAAATTTACTTTTTCTTTTGTTTTTGTCTCTCTTAGCGTCTTACTCTAGTGTTTGCCAAGTACACAGAGCCAAGGCGAACCACTTACTCCCTATGATCCCGAACTGAATAGAATTTTACGGAGAATGAATAATCAAAGAGTTCCGATTAACCCTATCGAGGGAGAGTTAGGTGAAAGTGTTGGAACCTTCGAAGGTAATTGATGTGAATAATCAGGCTCCAGTTGAGAATAGATTGGGAGATGCACTAAGGGGATAGGAACCACAAGGACCATGCCTGCATGAAAATTCCAGGGTCAACCTTAATATTGTCGATTCTGATGGACCTCTTGTCTTACCGCCTCTACCCCAGGGGCATACATTTATGATGACCAGTAGCTTGATGCAAATGCTTACAACGAGGGGCTTGTTTGCAGGGTTGCCAACAGATGATCCACATGCTCACATAGCCAAACATAATCATTTCTGCAAAAGTTGTATGGGTCGACCAGATTGGGATATGAACGTCATTAGGTTTCGTGTGTTACCCCTATCATTGACCGGAGATCCTGCTGTGTGGTTCAATGAACTCCCTTACAACTCAATCTATACATGGGAGCAGTTGACAGATGCATTTTTAGCAAGATTCTTTTCAGTGTCCAAGAAGATGAACAAGAAGGATAAACTCAACAACTTTATAGCATTATCTGGAGAGTCTGTGAGTAGTTCTTGGGATAGGTTCACTGCCTTCATGAGGGGTGTCCCGAATCATCGTATTGATGATGAGTCGCTGAAGGAGTACTTCTACCGAGAACAGGATGATAATGGTAATGGAGTGCTCGATACTATTGCGGGAGGTTCATACGGTGAATGCACTTTTGCACAAATTACAGAGAAAATGGAGAAGATATCTCGAAATAATAAAGCTTGGAGCACTAGAAAGTCAGACCCTGTGAGGAGCACATTTGTCGTTCAAGCTACAAACAACCAGCCCGCAGATGAGATTCGCGAGGAGATGGCACAGATGATAACTAAACTAGGGTTGGTGTTAAAGCATGTGACTGGAGGAGCGGAGAAGGTAAATGTTGTGAACTATTTGACTAGAACTCCACCACCGGTAGAGGAGTATTATTTTGAAGAGGATGCTTATGCGGTTAATAAGCAGACGGGGGGGTTTCCAACCAAACGCACAAGGTTCCAATATAGATAATTGGCGCCAAGGTCAAGGAAACCAAGGTCAGAACTATGGCAACTACAACCGAGAGGGTAAATATGTCCGAGATGGGATCTACAATCGCGACATCAACTACAACCGGAACAACAATGGCAATAGAAATGATCGGGTTGGACCTTATGTTCCCCCTCAAAATCAGGAATCTGGTCCTAGGGAAGCTGGAAGTAATATGTCACGTATTAAGGATATGATGCAGAAAATGATGAGGAAGTTTGAGAATACTGATCAGAATGTGAAAGAGATGCACACTGAGTTGTCCGGAATTGGCCAGAAAGTTGATGTCCGTGCAATGTCAATAAAGCAACTTGAGAAGCAGTTTAGTCAGTTGTCTGCTACTGTGAATACACACCAACCGGGCACGCTTCCCATAAAACCATCCAGAATTTGAAGAATGATGGGCATTGTATGGCAATCACGACTCACAAAGGAAAGTAGACTATTGACCCCATCATGCCATCCAATGTAGAAAAAGTGGAAGAAATTAATGGTGATGAGATTGAGGTTACCGAAGAGACTAAAAATGCCAGAAAGAAGGAAGCAGAGATAGCCCAAAAGGTCAATCACATGCCTAGACCTCCACCTCTTTTTCCACAGAAGTTAGAAAAGAAGACTGAAGAAGGAAATTACCGCAGGTTCATAACTATGTTGAAACAGCTTTCCATCAATGTCCCTTTAATAGAAGCTTCGGAGCAAATGTCTGGGTATGCAAAGTTCATGAAGGACTTGGTGACCAAAAAGAGGGCTGTCAGTTTTGAGAATGATGAGAAGTTGCAGCATTGTAGTGCCATTTCTACCAAGTCACTGGTATAAAAGAAAGAGGATCCTGGAGTTTTCACTATTCCATGCAACATCGGTAAGATGCACTTTACAAATGCTTTATGTGATTTGGGTGCCAGCATTAACTTGATGTTATTGTTGATTTATAAGAAGTTGGGTATAGGAGCTCCAAAACCAATTGCGATGCGTTTACTTATGGCTGATAGAACTGTGAAGAAGCCCATTGGAGTGCTTCAAGATGTCCTTGTGAAAGTGGGGCCATTCATTTCCCGGTAGACTTTGTTATACTTGATTGCAAGGTTGACTTTGAGGTCCACATCATCTTAGGGAGACCTTTCCTTGCTACCGGGCGTGCCTTAGTCGATATGGAGAGAGAGCAGATGAAGTTCCGACTACAAAAGGAGGAGGTGACCTTTAACGTCTATAATTTTATGAAGCAGGCAAGTGATCTTAAATCGGTATCGGTGTTGAGTCACACTTTTGAAAGAGGTGTTGAAGTGTTTAGTAAGGAGAAGTTAGGTTTTAGCCTTGTACACAGAGAAGAAGCGCCAGGCTCAAAAGACAGAAAAGCGCAAACTAGCTCCTGGTGATCTGGTGTTGTTGTATAAATCTAGGTTGCGCTTATTTCCGAGAAAACTCAAATCCAAATGGACCAGGCCATTTTTACTCACGAAGGTGCTGCCCAATGGTGCGGTTGAGCTTAAGAATAGTGAAGGAACAAGGTTCATGGTAAATGGACAAAGGATTAAGATCTATCTGGGAAATGTAGAGAGTGTGCAAGAGGTTGTTGAGGCCTACTATCTTGATAAACTCTGAGTAATCAAGAGGCATGCGTCGTGCCACGACGTTAAATCAAGCGTTGTTTGGGAGGCAACCAAAGATGTACAATCTAGCCAACTATAGGTTTTGTTTTGCGTCTAGTAGTTTCTTTGGTTAATTACGTCTTTGTACTCAATTAGATAGGTGCTTTAATTTCTTGGTTAGTGCTGGCTAGATATAGCATAGGGTCTGTGTCTAAAAAGTGTCCAGAAAATGTAAAAAGAATGGCCTAATGGTTGCTACATTTGCAGGTGTGCAAGGCAAAATCTGTAGAAAATGGTCTGGTGCAGAGGTCTACGGACCCCATCAACGATCCGTAGTTCATTCTACGGACCGTAAATGGCGTTCGTAGATCCCAAGTAAGTGTCTGAAATTTTACAGTGTGAAGGTGATCTAGGTCCCCATCTACGGACCGTAGATCGACCTACGAACCGTAAGTGTGGTCTCGTAGGTCCAACCCTAGCTTGATCGACCCGACCCGGACAACCTCTAATTTAAAAACCCCACTTTCAAATCATTTCCCACTTCTTCTAAATCCTCCCTAACCGTTTCTCCACATCCCAAATCCCTTAAATCACTCATTCTTATCATCAATTCATCATCACACACTAAATTCATCCCCCATATTCCCAATTCTCTTTACTTTTTCCCCCAAATTTCTCTAAACCATCATTTTTCAAACTTCGGTGTCCGGATGTGGTGCAAGTAGGTGACTTTTGTTGGTGATATTGGAATGATAGTGTCGTCACACAATCACACCACTCCTTCTTACTTGTAAGGTTATAGACTTTCCCCTCACTTTCAATTTCGGTTCATAGATTGATTATAGAAAGTTGGGAGTTGGGTCTTGACCTTGGGTAGTTAACAGTCTATAAATGCATGCTAAATTTGGAGTACTAACACCCTTACGACGATGGTCAGTGATTGTGTGTACCTATAGCATAAAATCAGTGCAAATAAATAGTCTATATGTAAGTTTTAACTTAGGGTTCCTCATCTTCTCTTGAAGTTATTATAAAATTGTGTAACTGGAACCCTTAGAATGACAAACTAGCATGAGTTATGTTGGAATGCATGATTAGACTAGGATAATATTGCAATTGGCTTCAAAATGGGTTTCAAAATTAAGGAACATCTGAGACCTGGCACAGACCCCATCTACGAGACCCCATCTACCGACCGTAAGTCAAGTTACGGACCATAGATCAAGTCCGTAGATGGAGGCACTTGGCAAATTTTACCAAGTGTGAAACTACGGATGTGGACTACGGTCCATAAACCAATCTACGGACCGTTCTGCATGTCTGTAGTTTCCAACAGAGACCAACTTTTTGGTATCTCTGAGCTACGAAGGGGTTCTACGGACCGTAAGTCTACCTACGTACCATAGGTGGCCACTGTAACTAACTGCCAAACTTATTTTATTTTTATTTTTGTTCGTTTTTAGTTCTAAAATTGTTTCGAGTGTATTTTAGGTTTGTTTTGGGTACTAACTACTCCTCCACAGGTACCATCGTACCTAAGAAGCAAGTAACTTACACCAAGAAAGGGAAGTCCAAATCATTTGCCCCAACTCTAAGGCTGATTGATGAGGACACCGACACAGAGAAGGATCCCTCTATGTCCCACCAACCACGAGGAGATCCCCACTGCACCCCGGTCTACGAGGAACACACCCCAGAAGGTGGTCACCAACACAGTCACTGTCTCCTAGTCTGATGAGGATGACACTAATCGGTTCAAAGACTGGGTTTGCTTCTGGGTCTGGAGAGGGTTCCTACTACGGTTCTACTGCAGGGTCTTCCTCAAGGTTTGTGTCCGGCTCCGCCACCGGCTCAAGTACACACAACCAAGCTTCCTCATCTGATGAGGCCTCTAGTTCGAAAGAAGTCCCGATTCCACGAAACAACAACCCTGATCCAGTGGAAAGGGAACCAAGTAGATGGTGTATTGAGGGGCAGTGGCAGATCTATCAGGATGCCAAAATGCTAAATGAGAAAGAGAGAATGGACTGGCTTATTACTGAGGAGCGCAGAGTCCTCGCAAGAAATCTACATACCATGCCCGACACTCACCGCCTATTTAAGCTTCACAAGTGCGAGTGAATGGCTCGTGACCACAAAACGTATAGTGAGGAGATTGTGCGGGAGTTCTATGTTTCCTATGCTGCCACTTTTCGAGGGTCGATTGATAAGCGGTCCAAGCCCACAACCCAGGACCCCTTCACCTCAACTATGGTTCGAGGTTTCTCAGTGGACATATCTCATACGACCATCAACCGATTCCTCTACGGTCCTAGCCCTAATCACACTTGGGCACTAAACATGGCCGACTTTGACTATAGATGGGATACAGTGTGGAGTAGAGCCTTTAATCGAAATGTCAAGCAAAGGGAGGCTTTGTTACTATGGCTCGCCTGGTACATCACTGCAGATGGAGAGCGTGCAGAATGGGTCACCACACCACGACTGGGCATTCGAAAGGACACTCTGAACTTGGTGGCCAAGTTCTTTTAGTTACTGGTGCGGAATAGTGTCTCACCAACCAAGGATGATAATTTGGTGACGTGGTATAGAGCGGTCATGGTTGTAGCATTGGTGGCAGGGCTGGAGATAGAATTTACCCGCATGATATTAGCAGAGATTCATGAGAGGGCTTTTAAGACCACTACTACCTACCTGTTCCCATGTATGATTTTTCAGCTATGCAGAAACGTTGGAATGCCGATCTGGCACTGTAACAAATTGGTCCATGCAATAGGAACTCTAGATATTGGGCTAATTTAGGATGAGGCGAATGTAGCAGCACCACACAGAGAGCCACAGGTCGATGTACTAGAGAATGCTAATCTAGTAGATGCGGTGGAGCAGATACAGGGTGATGATCCTACCCCTCCAGCCTACAATAATGATACCCCAGTTTCCTTCTCACAGGCCGTTAGTGAGGCCCCGAGCTCATCTAGAGCCACTCCGCATTTTGGAGCCAATGTTATACCACGGGCCCGAGTACAGAAGTTAGCGGCTCAAAAGACCACCTTGTTGCACCATATTAAGCCCTGGATGCGGAAGTTAATTGCTGAGTCCAAAGAGAGAGTATAAAAGAGGATGGACGCGAAAACGGACCAAAAGATCCAAGCAATTCATAAGCGGCTCGATGCCTTTGAGTTAAGAGTTCTAGAAAGGCAAGATCCTACTACTAATATGTCCTCTTTCCGGACCGAGCTAGCGAATCTTCGGGCAGATGTTGACGCCATCCTTGCCACACCAGTTGTTTCAATATAGATAATAGAGTTTTGTATCTTTCTCTATCTACCGAAAAACCATTTAAGCTAAAAATCCATGTTGGGTCGGATTCGAACGAATCCTTCGATAATCGGTAAAAAATGTTGAGCCTCAGGTTGCACCCTCTGCATTAGGCAATGATACAATCCTAGGTGCACTATTCAGTGGAGATGATGCGGATGAGCAGCCCGAGCCTGCACGTGCCCGAGGTAAGAGGCACCGATCTAGTCATAAAACTGAGGTCACAGAGGAGGAAAAGGCTAGAAAAAGGCAGCGGAGGCAGGAGAAGAAGGCACAAAAAGCCTCCATAATGGATGAGCAGTTGAGGCAGCAGAGGGCCTGTGAGATAGTTGTGCGGCATCGAGTTCTATGCCCGTTTCTAAGGTTTTACCTAATGTGGCGGATGATGTGAGCACCACTGGGGGTGCGGTGAGAACAACAGATAGCACTATTGAGGGTGCTATGACCAAAGATGCGAGCACTACTGAGGGTGACCCCACTGTTCCTATAGCGGAATCTGGGAAATCAGACCCACCCGCTTATTGATGATTCTTCGGCGCTAAGCACCACAGGTTTGCTTCACCCAAATCCATTCATTTTTACTGCTTTCTGTGTGCATTGGGGACAATTGCACCTATTTTTGTTTGGGTGGGGTAAATGGATTATGAGTGATAGGGTGAAGTATGAGTAACCCAACTCATAATCCTCTCTTGGGGTTTTCTTGCCTGTGTTCTTTTTCCCCAAGAGACTACTTAATTTTTGTTGAACCGACATATTTAGGATTGTATGTGTAGAAGCATGAGAAAGAATGATAGAATAAGCATGATAGCATGAGCTTGTTGAAAAATGATACCCGTCCAAAGATATTGAAATGTGTGCTAAAAGTTGTAGATTAGAATAAGTTGAATGTGCTGGCTCTGAGTATAACATGATAATGACAAATTTTATTTCATGACTTAAGCTAAAAACTTGAACTAGGTAATCTGATAATCTGATAATGGAACTGTGTGCCAAGAGTGTGCTAGAATCGTTGGTTGTTCAAACAAGTGGTGCCAATCTAGAACTTGCCCGGTTAGTCCTGCGAAAACAATCTACTCTAGAGTCTAGGAAGTGATCATAGGCCATTGTTCTGAATAGTCTACTAAATTCCTAAAAAAATCCAACCAAATGAAAATGAATGCTCCCATTGATCCAAATGCTTTGAGCCTAAAAGAGACCATTTCTTTCTAAACCCATAGCTCACCTTCCCATAATCTATTGTTTTGTCCCCGGTCCCTCCTTGGACATGTGCACCTCAACTTAGGCCAAAATCCTAAGTTGAGGGTGGCTAATGCAAAAACTGACCTCAATCTTTACCCTGATCCAACATCGGGTTTTGTGCACCTCAACTAATGGAAATTCCTTAAGCTGAGGGTGGCTATGAAAGGGGAAATCTAAAGAAAAATGGGTATGAAAAGAGTTTGGTGTTGAAAAAGTAAAAAAAAGATGTGACTTTGTGCGAAGGAAAGTGAAGAAAAAAGCAAGAAAAAGAAGAAAAGTGAAAAACAAAAGAGCTACAAAGTCGAAATTCACATCAATGATGGAAAAGAATCAAGGGAAAGAGGAGAAAAAGGTAGGATCTCAAAAATAGGGCAAAAAGAGGTAGAAAAGCCTAATGTAATGTTAAGGAGGGCAGAAAGTCACTAAAAGTACCCAAATGTACCACACCTAACCCTG